AACCGACATCACATGATTCCTCCTAATATACCTCCATATGGAGAGTAATTTACCGTTAAAGACCCTAAGACTTTAGCTAACAACAGAAGGCATTTATTCTTGTAGTAAACCTAACAGAGCGGTACATGTCCCACACATGCGCTCACCTGCATATTCGGTAACTTCTTCCTAACTAGTACCTGTTGTACTGCCGCCTCCGGGTTCGTATCTCAAGCCAACTTTTGGGGTGCTGCCGTAACCCGATCTGTATCTCAAGTACAACCTTTCTAATTAGTTGCCAATTACGTACTCCTGCCCTTGTAAGGTTCACAACAACCCCGGTACCTACATTCTAACCGTCTTTTTACCCAGATTCTCTATCGGTCTCTCCCTTACTTCTAGCCAGCAACCCGGACAGGTTGGTCTGCCCAGGCTTTAGATGCCTGAAGGATGCCCTCCCCTTGGTCCATACTTTCGGAGCATATGGTCTTTTCCTCTGATGCGTCTAAACCGGTGGTTCGGCTGGTGTGTCCCCCCACTAAAAGACCTAATCGCTCGGTTCACCAATCTCGGGCCCTGGTTCAAATTCAGCCTTCATATAGTACTGTCGAAGATCGCTGCTACCTCCCAACTTGGGACTTCCCAAATGGGCTTCGATCTCTGGTCCTGTGACCCGTGCTATGCAAAGCCCACAGATTACAGCCTTCCGGAATTACCTCAACGGTGCCACCAAGCACCGTCTCGACAAATCCTCCATGGGCCAACCTTAGTGAAGATCATTGCAGACTTTTCCCATATTACAAAAGCGCCGTCCCTGGGATTTGAACATGGGATCTTCCCATAACATTTGGTAAGAGTGACAACTAGACCACTTCACTAAGTCACCACACCTCTAGAATCTTTTTTATTAGAATCTGCTATCAAATATTCAATATGTATTTCAAGGCTTTTTGCTATAAAAGTTTTTATTTTTTCTTTATTTAGTATTAATAAAATAACAGCAACATATTCTTTAAGTTTTGTTATAATGAATACTAATACTATACACTGGTGTGAGCAAGAAGCTGTTAGTAATGACTCAGATAATGATATATCAGAATCATCAGAAAATGAGTTTGAAGTATATTTTTTACAAAGCAATCATGAAGAATGTTTACTAAGTGATTCTTTAATAGAATTTGAAAATTTAACCTTAGATAATAAGTATATATCTATGGAAATAGAAGTATTTAATTTTCAAGAAGTTTCTTTTAATAAAGGTTAGACATATAGTAAAAGAAGATTATGTAAATCTAGAGTAAGCAGAAGTAGTCATAGTATTAATTCTTCTGTAGCAAAGGCTAGTTAATAGGCAAATACTCAAGAACTATTGAATTTTGTATCTTTATAATATGACTATAAAAAAGGATATTTTGTACTTTCTAGCTATTTTTATTTAACTAAAAAAATAACATCTTTATGTTATTTTATGAGTTTTTTATAGTTAATTCTCTTATGCAAATAGTTGAATCAACAAATAAGTATTATTTTATTAAAAATCCTTTAGGTATAGAATGTCTATAAAAAACTCTTAATATTAATGAACTTTAAATTTGGTTAGCTATTGTTATCTATATAAACACTTATAGAATTTCTTCTTATGAGTTTCTTTGGAATAAAAGTGATTAAAAACCAAAACATTATATTACAGAACTAATGACACTAATGAGATTTGAACAAATAAAATGTTATTTACACATATCAGATCCTACTGGACCTTCTATAGTATAGTAGGGCGAAAAAGTGAGTTCTGTGTCACTTTTTCTACACCTCTATATGACTTATATACCAAATTGCATTTTTAAATCATTCCTGCTATATTTTATAACACTTTTATATACTATAGCTTGGTGTAAATTTTTATATAGCTAGAACACATTTATTTACCCAAATTCATATCAAAAA